TCAGCTTCAGCATCAGTCCTTCCAATGAACATTCAGGGTTGATTTTCTTGAGGATCGACTGGCTTGATCTTGGTAGTCCAAGGGACTCTCAAGAGTCTTCTCCAACACCACAGTTCGAAAGCATCAGTTCTTCAGTGCTCAGCCTTCTTTATGGTCCAACTCTCATATCCATACATGACTACTGGAAAAACCATAGCCTCGACTAGACAGACCATTGTTGGTGAAGTAATATCTCTGCTTTTTAATATGCTATCTAGGTCGGTCATAGCTTTTCTTCCAAGGATCAAGCGTCTTTTAGTTTCATGGCTGCAGTCACCATCTGCAGTGGATTTGTAGCTCAAGAAAATAAAGTCTGTCACTGTTTCCATCGTTTCCCCATCTCTCTGCCATGAAGTGATGGGACTGGATGCCATTATCCTCATTTTTTGAATGTTGAATTTTAAGCCAGCATCCATCCATTGGCTCTTTTGGGGAGAAGAAAGCTGTTATTTCACGTCAGCAGGTTCTGGGTGCCTAATCTATCCTAGGCACTGTGCTGAGTGCTGGAGAAAGATAAGTAGGACAAGGTTCTTGCATTAGGGTTTTCCAGGAGTTATTTCTGTGAACCAAAACAGTTGAACTGGTCTTCTCACCTGTCTCTCATTCCCGCTCTTCTTGCCGTTGGGTCAGGGCTTTTCTCTTTCCTTGTTTTACTTATTTCTGTGTTACTGTTTCACATTAGACAGTACAAAACTCAAAAGGCGAAAAGGACATACAGTGAAAATAAGTCTGTCCACAGCCCTGTCTCTGACCCCTGGAACTTCTTTCCTGGGAGGCAGCCACTATTCCACATGTCCTGTGGGGATTTCATGGTGGAGAACAGCACTAACACAATGGTTAGGTCCATTTGGACAGGAACTTCTGGAAAGTTCCACAGAGTAGTGTTTTTTGAGCTCTTGTTTAAGTTGCTGAGTGTGACTTAGTTTTATTTCTAGAAAAGCCTAAAATTGGTAAGTTTGGGTGATAGATACAGAGGGTTCATATTGCTTGACATGCATCTGCATTATTTCAGGTAACTCCTCACTGGATATTTTGGTTACCATGGGGTTTCTTCTGCTGCTGGGTTTCTTGTTCGTTACAGTCAAGTCCTCAAAGCCTTTCCTCTTCCACCGGAAGTGATGCAGTCCCATCTTGTGTGAAACTCTTGCGTTTCACATCCTGAATAAAACATTGAAAATCAATGGAAATAAGCTTTCAGCTTTGTAAGCTGAGCCGAGGCCTGAAGTCTCTCCTGCACCATTTGGGGTTACACGGGCAAGCCTAACTTTTCAGGACGCAGGTACTGTTTGTGTCTAGGTTGGTTACATATGAATGACTTTGTGCCTGGGACTCACGTCCTCCTCCGTCCTCCTCCTCCAGGATTCCCTCCTTATCGTTACATCTTAGGTCTTCCCTTCTAGTTTAGGGACAGTGTGACACAGATGTATAGGTTGTTCGGCAATGCCTTTTTACTCGCGTATCCTGTTTGGATGTTTCCAGCAGCTTCCTAAGCACCCGTTGCTGGCGTTGCCTAAGACCTCTCCGTCGCCCTAGCCAGTAAGGCAGCACTTCAGCGGCTGGACACCAACCACATCCTCTGGTGAAATGGGCTCTTGGGTTCTGTTCAGAATTTCTCAAAGACCAAATATGTCAGAAATGAAGCCTGGGCCTCATTTGTTTTAATATTATTTATTTGGCTGTGCTGGATCTCATTTGTGGTGTGTGGGATCTCGTTCCTGGACCCGTTCCCCACAGGCCCCCTGCACTGGGAGCTCTGAGTCTTAGCCACTGGTCCACCAGGGAAACCCCAAGGGTGTGCCTCTCATGCAGATTACTTTCTAGTCCAAACTCTTCTGTGGTCCTCTTTCTCCTGGTGCCCAAATGCTGTGTGGAATAGAGTTTTCTCTTTTGCCTTTGGCCCTGGTAAAATTTCATCTTGGTGACCTTTGATGCCCTGGAGAAGGGGCCGGCTGCCCACTCCAGTATTCTTTCCTGGAGAATTCCATGGACAGGGGAGCTTGGCCGGCTACATTCTGTGGTTCTTCAACATCTTGGTGACCTTAGCAGGTCATCAAAATGATGATGAGTTACTGTCGACTTGTAAGACTAACTTGCGGTTGATGGTGAAGTGTGTGTAGGGGTCCGATGCCCCATCCCACTGAGGATTTCAGATGAGATCTGTTTGTGCTGCTCTTCTGCAGGGGTGTTGGTTTTTTACCTCTCTGAACCTCAGTGTCGTCCTCCGTGAAACCAGAACTGTCACGGCTTAGGGCTTTGGGGAGGAGCTAATTCAGGCGGCTGCCGCTGCTGCAGTGCTGGCCCTGGCCAGTACCTCGTAACTACCACTTCCGTCTCGTGGCGGAGGACTGTTGATCCTCTAGCCTGTAGTGGTTTATTGCATGTGAGCAAGAGAAGAATTGAAGGTGACTTTGAGGTTTCTTCGTGGCTATATGATAGTGCTGTTTAATAAACTAGCACATATAGGAAAATGGACAGAATTTTAGTGAAAGGAACATTCAGTTTTCAATTTGTCAAGCTGAAGATGCCTGTGAGAAATTCAATTCCAGCCTTTAGAAGACTTTAATATACGGTTGGAAGTTAGCGCTAGAAATACCATCCTGGGATTCATTGGCATCTAGATGGAAATGGGTGTATAAAATGAAAAATTTGCTTTGGGGAAAGCTTATAGACGAAGGAGAAGGCTGAGCACGGAAGCTTTCAAAAGCCAGCAGTACAAGGAGAATGCCAGCTGTGTTGTGGAGGGAGAGAGGAGAAAGGAGCGATGGAAGAACCTGCAAAACCAAGCAGGAGACTGTGAGGGTGTTCTGCACCAGTGTTTCTCATAGTGTGTGCCCCAGGCCACCAGAGTGAGGGTCTGTTTCTCCACTGGGCCCTGAAGGCACAGTGCGTAGGATCCACACACTTTTCTGGGGCCTCCGAACACAGGAGTAACCCAAAAAGGTGAACATCCTGCAAGCACAAAGCTATAAAGAGCCTTTCAAAGGAAAACCAGAAATTGTTTAATATGGGCCAAGGGTGCATTTAAATATGTTTGAAATGGTTTAGAGGTCAGTGTGTCCGCATGCTCAGTCGTGTCCGCCTCTTTGTGACCCCATGGTCTGTAGCCCACCGGGCACCTCTGTCTGTGAGGATTCTCCAGGCAAGAATACTGCAGTGGATTGCCATTTCCTTCTCCAGGGGATCTTCCTGACCAGGGGATTGAACCCATGTCTCTTGCATTTGGCAGGCAAATTCTGACTCCAAGGGTAAGAGTGCCTGTGTCCCAAAGGCTTCAAGATAGCATCAAACTCGAATCAGAATCCCCTGGGGCACCAGTTCCCGCCACCCTCTCTGTCCTTTCTCCCTATCCCACCCCCCCCACCCCTGCCTCCCCAGCAAGTGGATCCGAGGCATCTTCATTTTTTAATAAGCCCACAAGGAGGTGGAAACACTTGTTCAGTGCTGGCTGATGTGTAATGTTGCGAATTCATGCCAAGGCCGCAATGTGCCCAGGCCCTGCTCAGAACTTTCACCCTGCTCTGACCCACCCTCCTCTCCTCTTCCTTGATTTTCACCAGGTTTAGGTAGTGCTCACTTGTGTCTTACCATATAATTACTATTGGACCAAAGCTCCTTGTCTCTCTGTATCCAACACGTTTAGAAAACTGAAAGGTTTTTAAAAAAAAGAAAATTGAAAGGTTTTAAAAAATCTTTGCACGAAACCCACTCAGAACTTCACTGAGTAGACATGACCTGTCTTCTTTTATTTATCCCCTCTTGTTTGACTGTTCATACATCCCACTGCAGACATACTTATCTGTCTTGGGGCAGTTGGAGACTCAAGTGACCTCATCAGCGTATGCCTTTGGAACTACAAGTTCCTTTAGGGTTTTGCCTCCCTGACCACCACCACCCCTTTACCCCAGGGTCTGTGTCCCCTCCCCGTCCACCCCCGAGAGCTTGCAGGGGACATAGGGAATTCGAATGTATGCCTGCTGGCTGGGATGGTTAAATTTATTTGAAGATTTGAATCAGTGATGTCATCCAACCATCTCATTCTCTGCCGCCCCCTCCTCCTCCTGCCCTCAATATTTCCCAGCATCAGGGTCTTTTCCAATGAGTCAGCTCTTCACATCAGGTGGCCAAAATATTGAAGCTTCAGCTTCAGCATCAGTCCTTCCAGTGACTATTCAGGGTTGATTTCCTTCAAGATTGACTGGTTTGATCTCCTTGCTATGCAAGGGACTCTCAAGAGTCTTCTCCAGCACTACAGTTTGAAAGCATCAATTCTTCTGCGCTCAGCTTTCTTTATGGTCCAGCTGTCACATCTGTACATGGCTACTGGAAAGACCATAGGCTTGACTATATGAACCTTTGTCAGCAAACTCATGTCTTTGCTTTTTAACACACTGTCTAGGTCTGTCAGCTATACCCTAATACAAAGTAAAAAGTCTACAGTAAAAAAATACATACAGTAAAGTGTAAATTTCCCTCATTTGTTGGATAAAATGTGAGATTTCAAAGCAGTTCTGATACTGTGGTTTGGGTGGGGGAACTTTTTTATCCTTCTTGGCTGGGGTGCTCAAGTGCTGCCTCACTCAGAACCCTGACAGTTGGCATTGCTGCTTTGCTCACTGGCTGGACTTCCGGTTTTTGTGCTTGTAAAGTTCCTGGGGCCACACAGGATGGCTCGAAGAAGGGATAACACTAGCATCAGTTAGACTGGCTCGCGAGAAAGAAAGATGCCCTGAAGTGAAGGCCAGGAGGTCAGCTGTGTCGCCCAGAGGCTGAATGTGGCAGTGTGGCCAGGCTCCCCGGGTTGCTCTCCAAAGCTGTGTCTTCAGGCAGCTTGCCGACCTCCGGTCACTCTCTGCGGCTCTGCCTGTTCTGATTAAGTGTGGTTACAGGCGTCCTTCCTCACCCCTCTCTGTGCACTGTGGCCGTGTTTCGTTTCCAGCCGGCGGTAAGGAACGGCGGCAGCTATGGGGGACCCCAGCCTCTCCAGACTGCAGTTCGCCCCCTTCAGCAGTGCCTTGGACGTCGGCTTCTGGCATGAGCTGACCCAGAAGAAGCTGAATGAGTACCGGCTAGACGAAGCTCCCAAGGACATTAAGGGTTATTACTACAACGGTAGGCGATAGGAAACTCCATTCTTCTTCTCTCACCTTCTCTGCCCAGTGTAGGGCCAGCTGTCCTTCAGAACGGGCTGTCCTTGACTTTCACCATTAATGCTGTCCCCTGGTTTCTACTTTACTTCCTGACTTTTTGACCCATGTTCACTTCTTTTGTCCTTATTGGGAAAAGAAAGGGAGAAGCCAGTGTATTAATATACCCTTTACTGAGTATCGCTGGGGAAGGGGATTGGAAACATTCTCCCCAGTGAATCTTTGCCTCAGTATTCTTGGCAAATACCTTGGATTCACAAAAGCCGTCATCTGCCGCTGAGTCCTTGTTCAGCTTGGGTGGCTGGAAATTGGATGGAGCCCTTTGGGCTTCACCAGAAGAGAGAAGCGATCCACAGATGTTTTTGTTGCAAAGGCTGCTGTGACTAACTCATGATTGAACGTGTAAATGCTTCCTTCCAGGTGACTCTGCGGGGCTGCCAGCTCGCTTAACGTTGGAGTTCAGTGCTTTCGACATGTGAGTATTTTTTTATCGAAGTCTAAAATAGAGAACACTGATTTTTGCAAGGAATGAGGGTTCTTAACTTTCATTGTAGGTAGGCCGCGGGGCGATCCACAGAAGCTTCTGGTGAGCAGGGCTAGTGTCTCGTGGTTCTCTTGTACCTCCCATGGCACAGAGACAAGTGCTGGGTGCTCAGGACTGTCTGGTTCATTTTTTCAGCACGTATTTATCAGAGCCTATTAGGTGCAGCAGTAAGCATTTATTAGACTACTTCTGTATACAAGTTACTATGCAAGGCATTGTAGGGATGTACAAAGAAATGCCACATAATGTCCTCACAGAGGTTTCTTTAACTCACTGGGGACCATGGGGAGTTTCTGGAGACAAGAAACACATTTATTGCCTTAATTACTGACTTATTTTCTAGACGTAATCCTTTCAGACCTGCCAGGCATGATTTTCTTCCCTTTGACAGGTGAGGAAACCACGAGTGCAAAGGTGAAGTGACTTACCCAAGTCATTTAGACATGGCTCAATTTAGGAAGCAAGGGTGAGAGAAAGGTGACCAGTGTTTCTGAGGTTGTGGTCTGAGCAGCTGGGGGCAGTTTCTTATTTTCTGTAGAAACCGAGAAGCCAGGAGGTGGCTGAGGTTTGGGGAGGGGGTAAATTTGGTTTAGGCCATGTTGAGTCAGAGATGACAGAGTCCAGTAGAAACGTCTGGGAGGCACTGGCTCCCGGGAGGGTGGGTCGTCCACGTAGAGATCCTGAGGCTGTAAGAGAGGAAGAGACTGTAGCAGAAGGAGAAGGAAGGGCAGTGACAGGGACCAGACCTGGTCAGGGAGGGCAGAGACACAGAACTCGCCAAAGAGACGTGACTTGCTGGAGAAGAAGAACCAGAGATGATGTTTTCAGGAAGAGGGTCAACAGTGACAGAATCGGAAAGGTTAGAGTTCAGTGCTGGAGTCACGGGAATTGTTGATTGGGTTGTGTGAGAAACTAAATTCTGCGCCTGGGGGCAGAGCAGAAGCCATGTCGAGAACTGAAGGATTAAGGGCTGCCGGGAGGGAGGCATCTTTTTCTGCTCCCTCATGTGTTTGCTGTGTGAGGGTGGGGGATAAGGGGAACATGAAGAGGTATTTGTAAAGACCACGTGAAAATGGAGATAATCAAAGAATCGTCGTCGTTCAGTCAGTCAGTCATGTCCGACTTTTGCGAATGAACCCTTGGACTGCAGCATGCCAGGCTTCCCTGTCCTTCACCATCTCCCAGAGCCTGCTCAAACTCATGTCTTTCGAGTCGGTGATGCCATCCAACCATGTCATCCTCTGTCGTCCCCTCCTCCTGCCCTTAGTCTTTCCCAGCATCAGGGTCTTTTCTAAAGAGTCCGGTCTTCGCATCCAGGGGCCAAAGTCCTGGGGCTTCAGCTTCAGCATCAGTCCTTCCAGTGAATATTCAGGGCTCATTTCCTTGAGGACTGACTGGTTTGATTTCCTTACTGTTCAGTGGACTCTCAAGAGTCTTCTCCAGCACCACAGTTCAAAAGCATCAATTTCTTCATCACTCAGCCTTTGTTATGGTTCAACTCTCACATCCATACATGACTACTGGAAAAGCCATAGCTTTGACTATATGGACCTTTGTCAGCAAAGTGATGTTTCTGCTTTTTAATATGCTGCTTAGGTTGGTCATAGCTTTTCTTATGAGGAGCAAACGTCTTTTAATATGAAATTAAGATGAAATTAAGATGGCTGCAGTCACCATCTGCAGTGAGTTTGAAGGCCAAGAAAATAAAGTCTATCCCTGTTTCCATTGTTTCCCCATCTATTTGCCATGAAGTGATGGGACTGGTTAGTCAAAGATTAGGGTATTTCAAATGAAGTTTCCCTGGAATTTGAAAACAAAAAATCTCTTGAAAAGTCAATACATTTTATTCCTCTGTCACAATCAAATTGTGAAACTAAATTGCACAACTTGAATCGAAAATGATGTTAGTTTTTGCACCTTTAAAAGATGTGTTTTGATATTTCTTGTTCCCTTCAGAGCTTTCTTGCTCCATAATAAATCCTTGTGATTGCACGTCAAAGCAAAAAATCCTAGTCATCTCTCTCCTGGGTCGGCAAAGACTGACTGACTTCGGAGCAATCACAAAATAATGAGGAAAATGCATTCAGCGTACAGTCTTAAATTACCTGAGACTAATAAATGCGGTAGTGTAGTTCTAGTATAACCCAGAGGGTCCAACATTCCTCAGAAGCTGCCCTCACTCCCGTCTATTCTTTTTTTTTAATGTATAATTTGATGTATTTATTTATGGCTGTGCTGGGTCTTCGTCGCCATGTGGGCTTTGCTCTAGTTGTGGCGAGTGGGCTTCTCGCTGTGGGGGCTTGTCTTGTTGCGGAGCACAGGCTATAGGGTGCGTGGGCTTCAGCAGTTGCAGCCCGTGGGCGCTAGAGCACAGACTTCATCGCTGTGGTGCGCTGGCTTCGGGCTTAGCTGCTCTGCAGAATGTGGGATCTTCCCAGATCGGGGGTCAAACCTGTGTCTCCTGCATTGGCAGGTGGAGTCTTATCCACTGAGCCACCAGGGGAGCCTGCTCCTGTCTCTTCTGACACTAGTTGAAAGGTTATTATTTTTTTGAGTTTCAATAATTTTATTCTTCAGCACAACTAATTATAGGGGGAAAAAAAACTATTCACAGAAGTTAGGCTTGATTTTGTGGCAAAATCCAGGTTTCTTAAACCTTACAATCCAGAAATTTTAGCTGAAGGAGATAAAGTCTGTGAGCCCATGGCTGTGGTTTTCTCCCAGATGGCCTGATTTTCCTGGTTATCATTTGTCAGTTAGCTGTTGAATCTTCACCGCGTGTGAGGCTCTGTGGTAGGCACTGGGGGAAGTGACTAAGAATTAAGACATGGAAGTCCTGGATTGGAACCTTGGCGGCTTGGAATCTACCCCTGATTAACTGCCCTACCTGGAATGAGTCTTTTTCATTTTCTCAGCTTCAGTTTCCTCATCTGCAGCTCCCAGCTTCTAAATGTTCCTTTCAGTTTTAAAAGTCTGATTTTCTTCCTTTCTTTTTTTTTTTAAATTCAACTTTTTTGTAAAAGTCTGTGATTTTCTGACTCCCCCTTTCTTAGGATTATTGGTGCCATGGTCTAAACGGTGTTCTTCAAAAGCACATATGTTGAAAACCCAGGGCCCAAGGTTACGGTCTGAAGAAGTGGGCCTTTGGGAGGTGGTGAGGGCAGGGCTCTCAGGAATGGGGTTAGTGACAGGGACCCCAGAGACCTAGCTCACCCCCTCCACCCTGCGAGGACACAGCTGAAGCGGAAGAAGCTCTTTGCTGGCGCTTTGATCTTGGACTTCCAGCTTCCAGAGCCATGAGGGATAAACGTCTGTTGTTGGCAGCCCCCCAGTCTGTGGTGTGGTACAGCCTCTGCTCAGGCAGACTGAGACAGTCAGGAAGTTTACTGAAAGCCCTTGGAGCTCCTCTGGAGAAACGAGGTCTTTGTATCCAAATTGTTATGGTCATGATTGTTCTTTCTTTGTGTTTATTGCTGAGCATGTGTGTGGGTTTGTGGGGGAAATCTCCCTGCATTTATTCATCAAACACTGAATGTTTCTTGTGTGCAGACATGTAGGTGGTAGGAATACAAAGACTTAAGCCAACAGGGGACTCTGGAGGAGCTCTGCATGGAGGTGGAAGACAGGTATTAGCATCACAGGGTATGCAGTAAACATGGGGGGCTGATGGTTGGTTCAGAAATGCTTATTGATTGCTTCCGCTGGGTCCTGATGATAGAATGTGCCGGGCCTCAGACATACAGAGAAGCATAAGATGCCGTTTGGAGAGCTAACAGCCTGAGTCCTCCTCTGTAGATGCCAGGTGTACCTCAACTTTGCACAGCGCCAGTGAAACCCCTCTCACTCTGAGATCCCGGAAGCCAGATGACTCTCTGCCAGCAGTTGGCATCACAGGGTCCCATTATCTGCCTTGTTTCGGCTGAATTATGGGTCACACTTGGCTGATTGACCCGGCACCGACTGTCCTGCGCTGGAGCAAGCTGTCTTAGGCTGGCACGCTAATGAACCAGACCCCAATGCGTAATGGCCCTAACACAGAGGGAGTCTCTTTCTTACCTGCTTAGTAGTCCAGGCGGGGGCCGGGGGGCGGAGGCGGCCCAGTCTTTTTCTGTCTTGTGGCTTCATCGTCCTGGAGGGCTTGCCTTTGTGTGCTGCTGAGAATGGAACTGTCACCTTCCGGTGGCAAGAGAGAGGTGGTGCAAGAGAACCAAAGTGGAAATCTGAGGAGACACCCCCAACTCTCTTAAAGACCCTTAACAGCCGGGGTGAGCGTGGGGTGGGGGGGCATGTATCACCCCACTCACGTTCCGTCAGGCAGATGGCCTCACCATCCTGCAGGGGAGGCTGAGACATGGTGCCGAGCTACAGGCATCAGAGCATTACTTCTATATAAAGAGAAAGAAGTAGACTTTGATGGACAATCTCTGTACAAATTTAAAGCTAGTGAAAAAAAAAATCCTTTGCTTTGAGGAACATTTACCTAGATTTTTATTTTTAAAATATATAGCATCTTTTCAGAATGGTTTTTAATGAATTAACTTTTTATTTTTGGCCATGCTGAGTCTCCGCTGCCGCACGGACTTTTTCTAGTTGTGACGAGTCGGGGGCTATTCTCTGGATGTGGTACGCAGGCTCATCATTGTTGTGGAGCATGGGCTGTAGGACATGTGGACGCAGGAGTTGTGATACACAGGCTTTATTGCTCCGTGGTATGTGGGATCTTCCTGGACCAGGGATTGAATGGTTGTCTCCTGCATTGCAAGGCAGATTCTTAATCACTGGACCACTAGGGAATCCCAACATTTACCTAATTAGTGATAAGACATATTTTCCTTTTCTAAGCTTCAGGTTGGGCTTAATAAGATAAATAGAAGGCATAACCCTTGCGTTCAGAGACCTTAAATAGTGACTGAGGAAATACGGCTCATTTGCTAGATCATCTGTGCAGGACACAGGCCCTCTTATTTTTCACCATCTTACCAGCACCTAACGCAGGTCCGACATGGACTGGCCACTCAGATAGCCATTGGCATCAATTGCAAGAAGTCTGAGGGCCTGGCTGTCAAAATGGGAAGTGGCATGGCTGGTGGAAATGCACCCATGGACCCCGTTAGAGGACGCGATGACCAGAAGCTCAGAGATGGTTACCGAAAGCAGGAGATAATGCAGTAGGGTCCCTGGACTGAGTGTGACTTGGACTTCAGAGCTCCCCGCGGGCAGGTGAGACTATGCACACGTGGTCAAGGCTTCTGCAGATACATTCCATCCCAGCCACCCTCACTGCCTGTCTGTCCTGGAGAATCTGGCCATGTGTCTGCCCTTTGCCCAGGAAGTTCCATAATAGCCCTTGTAGTTTCCTGAGTCATCACTGTGAGGCTGAGTGATGTTGAGGGCCTGGGGTCCAGCAAAAACATGCCCGGCTTCAGGCCTTTGTAGGATATGATCTTTTCCCCAACTCGGGTTAGTGTGTTCACTAGCTAGTTAGAGCTCACTGCAGGCTGTAGGATATGGGGCAGACGTCTGATACTAGTTTTCTAAAACAGCTCTATTGAAGTATACTTTACGTACCGTGTGAACTCCCCTGGTGGCTCACAAGGCAAAGCGTCTGCCTACAGTGCAGGAGACCTGGGTTCTATCCCTGGGTTGGAAAGATCTCCTGGAAAAGGAAATGGCAACCCAATCCGGTACTCTTGCCTGGAAAATCCCATGGACGGAGGAGCCTGGTAGGATACAGTCCATGGGGTTGAGAAGAGTCGGACGTGACTGAGCAACTTCACTTCACTTTATGTACCATACAATTTACCCATTTAAAATGTACAATTCAGCACTTAGTATATTCACGAGGTGCAGGCGCCACCACTGCACACTTTCGTCACCCCAAAGAGAAGCCCTGTGCCCTTAGCAGTCACTCCCCATCCCTCCCTTCCGCCTTCCCCCAGCTCTAGGCAACCACGACTCTGCTGTCTGTCTCTATGGATTTGGCTGCTCTGGACATTTCACAGCAGTGGCATCACAGCAACCTAAACTCATGCGTGTCCAGGCGCAGGATTTGGACTAAGCTCTCTAGTTTCCAATCTAGGGCTCTTTCCAGTCCTCCTCTGAGCCACCTCTTTCTGCAACAAGTGGAACTTGAACCTGGAGAAACTGCTGGCATGACTTTCCCTCCCAGCATCACATTTTAAGTTCTTCCCTCTGGCCACCTGTCCGGGCGGAACTTCAGCCTTGGCGGCGCTCTCCTCTGAGACTCACCAATGAGGCCACACAGGGCTGATGTCCGGGCAGCTGCTTGACCGCTCATGCTTTAGTTTCCTCCACTCTCAGCTCTCACGGCGAGCCTGCGCCTGGCCTCCAGGGCGTGTGGACACTAGGAGGGCGGGCACCAGACTTGATCAGAGCGTCCTTCTCTGTTTCTCTAGTCATTTCATGAAGCCGTGTCTGCCTGTAGAACCATATCTGCCTCTAGAAGCCTGCTTTGCCAGCTGCTAAGCTTCCTTTCTCTTCCCTCTCAGTCTAGTCTTGTCCTTTTCTGATTTCTTTTTTCTCCTCAAGTCTATCCTTGATGTCCTCATCTTACCTGAGTGAAGAATATTCTTCTGTTGTGGTAGAGTGGTGACACATACAACCTATGAGCCACTGACTCATCAGCTCCCAGAGGCAAGCTCTGGCCTTTGAAAGTTGCTTCTCCCAGGACTTGGCATTTGAGCCTTAGAGACAGCATTTGGCAGAACCTCCTCACCCGTCACACCCCTCCACACCTGCTGCAGGTGTAGATCTCTCTAAACCTGCAGCCCCACCCTCCTTCCCGAACCCCATTTTACTTACTCAGAAGGGAGAAGCGCTCGGTCTGGTGAGCTGCCGTCAGTGTGAGCAGTGAGCACGCTCTGCAGTGGTTGTGACCACAGTGTGCATCTTGTCATAGGATGAGTACTGTTTTCCGCAAACATCTGTAAGCTCTGTGGCTCAGTGGTAAAGAACCCTCCTGCGAATGCAGGAGACACGCGTTCGATCCCTGGGTCGGGAAGATCCCCTGGAGAAGGAAATGGCACCCCAGTCCAGTATTCTTGCCTGGAATCCCATGGACAGAGGAGCCTGGCGGGCTACAGTCGATAGGGTCACAAGGAGTCAAACACGGACTGAGCAACTGAACCCACACACACAACCTCTGAACCGCAAATTAATCATTTTGGTGGCGAGACCAAGTTTTCCCACATCAGGGTTGTGTTCAGAGTCATCTCATCTTCCTCCTCTCCTGACCTGGATTACTCTGGGGCCGGGGGGACAGTGTAGACTCTGACACCCGGGAGGCCCGACATGGCCACACAGGTGTCCGGGTGTGGTGCGGGGCGTTGCGTGGCTCACATGCCCTCGGGGACGCGCCGCCTGTGTGCGGCAGTGAGATCAGTGCCGGCAGGAGGAGGAGGCACGCCCCTGCCTTTGGAGAGCTTCCTGTCCTCCAGGGGGTGTGCGTGTTGGTCTTGAAAACACTCTAAAATACTATGCTCATGATCAGAGAAGGGGGGATGGATGGATGGCTTCCTGGAAGAGGAGGATTTGCAGCAGGGCGCTGAAGCCTGGGAGTGCTTGAGTGGGGAGTGGGCAACACAGACCCTTAGAGTCAACAGTTCTGAGTTGAGACACCAGCTCTGCCTGTTATGTGACCTTAAGCAAGTTACTTAATCCTTCAGGTGGGAGAACAAACTTTTCAGAACCGAACCCTTATACCCAGGTTCAGTAGAAGCTCAGTAAAAAACATATCCCTTTCAGTTTAAAGATGGGAAAGAATTTTTTTAAATAGGAAGAGAGCTTATATCTGGGGGGCAGTGGAAAGACAGCATGCAGAGACATTCGGGGAAGGGGAGTAGAGAGGCTTTTGAGGGGTAGAGTGCCTGGTTTTGCTTCTTATGCAGTGACATTCGTCATTTGCCAAAGAAATGTAAGCCAGTCCCCTCTTTGCCCTGCAGAGCGCGGTCCTTGTGTCTGTCTTCTGGTCTGTTTGTCCACAGCTGGCTCTCCGAGTCCCAGCTGTGCCCATTAACCACATCTCTCTCGTACCCAGGAGTGCGCCCACGCCAGCCCGCTGCTGCCCGGCGGTCGGCACACTGTATAATACCAACACTCTGGAGGCTTTCAAAGCTGCAGATAAGAAGCTACTCCTGGAAGAAGCAGCAAACGAGGTTAGCTGGGAAACGCGATGTACCCGTTGTCTTGTCCACGGTCCCGCGGGCACGCAGTCGCAGACCAAGTGCCTGACTCTGCCACAGAAGCTAGCGTGTACCCGGCACTCAGTCGTACTCAGGGCCTTCTGCAGTGATGGGTGGGTCAGGGAGGAGCCAGCCAGGCTCTTGCCTGAGGAGGTCACAGCAGAGAAGGGAAGCGCTCGCCGGCTGACCTCCAGTTAGCATCCTGCAGCAGCTCAGCCTCTCTGAGTGTGCCAGCGCATGCCCGTATGTCATGCATTCGGGTTCTCTGTTCCCAGTGCCCCCCAAAGAGGCTTTCTAGTCCTGAGCGCTGTCACGCTGTCAGAGCCCATCATGTCTCTCCCACGTCCTCAGGGCTGAACGGAAAGGCTCCGTGGGACTTCCCGGGGCCCCCATGACCCGGCCTCTGCGGCCCCATGGCCTTCCATCCTGTCACTCTTGCTCTCGCCGTCTCTAACCACTCAGGGCAGATCAGGGAGCATTCCTCCCTTCACTGCTTTCTGCGGTCCCCTCTCTCCCTGGGACACGATGGTTTTCCCTGCCTGGAATGTCTTTCCTTTCCTTCTTCACGTCTGAGTTAGTGTGAGGAATAAGTGGGGACTGGTTTATCCCGGCCCTCTCTACCACCTACTTCATCAATGAGCTTCACCCCGGTGAGTCTTACATACAAGGGGACCATGATCAGAGAGGGGTGTCCCCTGCCTCGGGCCTAGGGAAGGCGTCTCTCCCACCCCTCGTAATGGGGGGCGATGGTTGCCTTCCTCGGCCTGCGGCGTGACTGCTCGTGGGCTCCTGTGTGTTTCAGAGCCCGTCTCAAGAGAGTCGGTTGGCTCTTAGGCTGTCACTGGAAACAGCAGGCTGCTCCCCAGGGAATCCCAGCCCCATCCCGTATCCGGGCCCAGCCTCCCCTTCGGTTTGTTGGGAGTGAGGCCGGCTCTCCTGGGCTCCAGCTCCTCCAAGCTCGGTGTTTCCACAGCGGACTGTCTCTCTGCTTGTTCCCTCTTCCGCTCACGCGTGTGCTGGGGTTTCTGGTGGCACAGCTGTCGGTTTCCTCAGTGGCCCAAGGTTTAGCCTCCAGTCTTAGTTCCTGAAACGTCCGACCGGGACCTGCTTCTGTTTCCGGTCACAGTCCTTCCTGAGTATCCATAAACTTGATGTTTCTTTTTTTCTCTTCAGGGAAAGATTATACCAGATAAGACTTTTAGAAAATGCCCTGTACATAGTTCAGATCATGGCCTCTGGAGCCCGTCCCTGGCTGTTTCCCCTCCCCTGTCCTTAGCCGAGGTCAGGGTTCCTCCCAGGTACTGTCCGCCCGTCTGCAAGATCCCCTGCTGCCTGGCGTCATACAGACACGGGTGCCCAGCTCTCTCCCAGGCTGTTAGCTTCTGGAGGGCGGGGACTGTGCCTCTTTCTTCTGTATCCCTGATGTGCTTGCTCCGTAGTTGACATTAAGTAAACACCTGTGGAAGGCAGTAACCAAGGCACGAATGGGCCGGGTTTCCTCCTTGACACTGAGACCTAGCAAGAGAGAGGATGCTTCTGGACTTTCCTGTGTCTCTGCAGGGGGCCCGGGATGAGTGTTCTGGGCCTGTGGGCAGGAAGGCTCGCTGCCCTGCAGCTCCGCGTGTTCCTGGGAGGGAGGTGGGAGGAGACCCCGGGACCTGCCCTGATGCTCCTCCTCCTCTCCGCAGATCTGGGAATCCATCAAATCGGGGGCCGCCCTGGACAACCCTGTGCTCCTCAACAAATTCCTTCTCTTGACATTCGCGGTAAGTCCACGGGCTCGGCGGGATCTGGACTGTGGACTGCCCTGGCCGAGCCCAGGGCGCTGGTGGGACAGTCAGCTCTCTTCTCTCAAGTCACGCCTGTTGAACAAATCCTTGGGTGGTTAGTGACCCGGTATGGCTGGCATTTCTCACTGATGCAAGATTAATTCATTCTCACCAATCGTACTGGTGGTGGTTGCCTGGTTTATTTGACAGGGAGACCCAGCTGTTGTCATTTGAGCACGTGACGACACGTACTGGGTTCCGGGAGCTGGGTCCATTGCTGCTAACGTTTTTGTTTAGTTCAGCTCCGCAGAGCTCAGTTGCTGGGTCCATCGACGTAAGGAACAGGTGACGACTTGAGGATCTAAGCCATCTCCAGGTCACTTCTAGACGAGAGGGGGTCACCCTGCGTAGCTTGTCCACACAGTTGTGTTTTGTTTTTTTGTTTTTTTAACAAAGGAAATTTTTTATGTAAGTGAGAGCTAATTAAAATGAACTTTAAGGGCAGCTTTGAAGAGGAGAAGAAACCACATTAGGGGAACAGCTGCTGCCCAGGGAAGCAGGGGGAGGGAGTGTCAGTGATGGGGCACATGGGGAGACAGTGAGGGCTGGTTTTAATAGAAGTGCCAGGCCACCCACACGCATGTGCATGTGTGTACACACATATGCGTGCGTGTGTGTATCTCCATAGAACGCTCATTTACCCTTTATCATTATGTGGACATTATAGTATTCTGTCAAATATATGTTCTATAGACCTTTTTATATCTAAGTTGTTTTCAGTATTTACTATTTTATTTTACTTCTGACTGCACCACGCAGCATGTGGGATCTTAGTTCCCTAACCAGGGGTCGAACCCACAACCCCTGCACTGGAAGCAGTCTTCACTACTGGACTGCAAGGCAAGTCCCCAGTTTTCACTATCATTAAAAAAAAGTTTCAGTGAACATTGTCATCCACACTGATTTTATTTCCCCGCTTATTTCTTTAGAAGATAGCCCATTGGAGTGGGCATGTAAATGTACTGATGTTGACACGTATTAAGCACGCAGGTTGTTCACCCCAGCTTTATCTGCTTCGGATGTTAATCCTCTTCCCTACATTTTTCTTTTCTTTTTTCGGTTTGCCAAGTTACAGGTCTTGTCTTCCTTCCTCCCCCACAAACTCGTCCTCCGTTTCTTCCTCCTGCTGCCTCTCTGATGCACCACCCGAGGCAGAGGGGAGAGAGAAAGGATTCAAACTGGGGGTTGTACCCAGAGTCGGGGGCGGTGGGCATGGGGCCCTGCAAGGAGCACATTTCTTAACAAGTTAAATTGCTTTCTGTGTGTCAGTGGTGAGATAGAAAAGCACCAGATACTTCAGGGGATTACTAGATACAATTTGGCTTTGATATTTTGTAAATTTGAGTAATTTTGTAAGGATAAATAAAAGCAATGCTAATTAAAGTTTTTTTTTTTTTTAACTTTACCATCTATACATCTTCTGTATTAAGAGTTCTGGCTAGTAAAATCTAATAGACAACTTGTATTTAATGAGAAAACAGCATTGGATCTCACTTAAAGCTTTAACGCATCTCCCAGACTCATTATGTGAGTTGGCCATGTTGCCGTTTCTACTGAGTGTTCTTAGCCTGTGTTTAAAAAAAATTAAAAGTCTCTGTCTTCAGAAACCTGTCAGACACAAAGGGCTTTATGTTTGATGTAATTGAGGTCTCTTGTATCCTGAAAAGCATCCTAAGAAATTCAAGCCTTTTGACTCTTGAAGATGACCTGATAAGAGCTCTTAGAAATGGCTAAGGCCTTCATCTTGAATCGTTTAACCTTTTGCTAAAGATCAGTTATGACAAATCATTTAAGCATATGGAAGAGAGAAAAATCTCTAGAGGTGTTTTTCTTTCCCTTCTGCTCTTTCTAGGATTCCAAGGTACAGACACTTTATTAATTTCCATTTTGCAGTTTGCTTTGCTGTTGTTAAAGGGAATTTGTCCTTAGTTGATCAGTTAGTGGCAGAAATAAAGACTGTGGAAACTATAATGATTAGTCTTCTTCATCTGGACATGTGTTTATGTGTAAGTTTGTTTTTAAAAAGTCACCTAGTATGACTCCATTTGTTTGGAAAGTCCAGAATAGGCAAAGCTATAGTGACTGGACGTAGGCTAGGGGTTTCCAGGGGATGAGAGTGAGGTGAGTGGAGAGTTTCTGTGAATGACATTTCTAACTAATAAAGCAGTGGGGAGTTTCTGCTGTTGGGGTTTCTTTTCAGGGGCAATGAATACTTTCTGAAATTGGTGGGGATGGTGGTACAGCCTTGTCAGTGTACTAGAAGACCGCTTAATATGCTTTAGCGTCTTTAACGTGGTGACTTCTTTCTGGCTTCACTGCCTTGTGTGGGCTCTCTCTAGTTGCAGCGAATGGGGGCTGCTCTCTAGCTGAGGCGCCCGGGCTTCTCACCACAGTGCCTTCTCTTGTCGGAGCACACGCTCCGGGGCGCGCGGCCTCAGTAGTTTCGGCTCCCGGGCTCTAAGGCACAGTCCAGTAGTGTGGCGCTCAGGCACTTGGGATCTTCCCAGACCAGAGGTCGAACCTGGGTCCCCTGCATTGGCAGGCAGATTCTCACCCACTCCACCACCAGGTGAGTCCAACATGGCGGCCTTTATGGTACATGACTCATACCTCAATGAAAAGTCATCAAGCATCCATCGCCTCCTGATTCCTAGCAAGATTCGAGAGGAAATATCAAGTAGCAAAATAAATTACAAAGTGGTCCGTGGTAACAGGCTGGTGGGGAAGCTGGCAGGTACCCACATGACCATAGGATCCTCCCACATGAGTGATTCAGGCCACACCTGCTACAGAAATTCAGAGACGAGAACATTGGACCTGAGTGGGGACAGCCTTACAAGTCACTGGCCCCTTATCGCCTCCCCTGGTTGGGGAGCAGTCCCATACACCCCTGAAGGCACAGCCTCTTCTATCGTCGGTGCACCTTAGTTCTTGGAACGTCGTCTGTGACTCATCTAGCTACTCAAGTGCTTGTTTCCTCTCTGTTCCCTGCAGTGGCTGAGCTACCTGAGTGCTGGGCTGAATTTTCTTCATCTTCTTACTGCTGGAGTATCTAACATTTTGCCTTATACACAGCAAGTGCTTAGTTGGTGACTTGAATTTCACCAATATGACATTCCTGAAAACCCTGTTATATTATCTCAGGTTATGAGTAGCATGTTCTAATAACTTTAATAGCATGCTTAGTTCATTCAGTTGTGACAAGAGTGGTAACTGTTTGGAAGTTGTACCTCCACAGATGGCACGCTGGGTACGCCTGGTTCCATGGACAAGAGCTTACATTTTGGAAGTAGAATTCTACTCTCTTCTCTGCCACTTAGTATCTATGTTCAAGCGTTCCACCCCTCTCTAAGCTTCGGTTTTCTGTCTATAAAATCTGCTGATAATAGTTACCTCCCAGGGTGATTTTATATGTTAAACAATGATGACAACAACATCAATTACTTATTGAATACTTTCTACTAACAAGTGGTCAATAAAATATATTATGTCTATCCTGATACATTAGTGTTAATGTGTGGGAACATTTCAGATAAACATGGAGGTTCTGTCGTCTGTCATGAGTTCTGCTGGGAGATTTCTGACAAGCTGGTCATTTCTCGTGTGCGTTAGTTTTTCTGTCTCATGTAGCTGTTGAGAAGTTAACGTTAGTAGGCACATTTCCGTGTGATCACCGGTGCTATTCTGATATGTTGTATTGTTTCTTCCAGGATCTAAAGAAGTACCACTTCTACTACTGGTTCTGCTCCCCCGCTCTCTGCCTTCCAGAGAGTATACCCCTCATTCAGGGGCCAGTGGGCTTGGATCAATGGTTTTTGCCAAAACAGGTATCAACAAATAAAATGCAGATCAAACTGGGTTTAAATGTGTATCTGGCTCATTCTAAAGACAGACCTGCACTTGTCTGGATGAGGAGGCAGTCTCTGGAATCCTCCAAAGATGGCACTAGGAGCAGACTTACTCACATAGTGTTTTGTAAACGCGTTTGAAGCGTGGTCAGCAGCACTTGTCCAGGTCCTCATGACCTGTGTTGAGATGCTGAGCCAGTAGGGAGGAATTACAGAAACACTTTGAAAGGCTGTGGGGATTTGCCAAAGCGTGATCTCCACTCTCAGTGGAGACAGTCTTTGCAACCAAAGAAAAGACTTCCTCCTTCCTTTGTGCCAAGTTGCAGAACTTCTACATTAAGGATGGTCCCTACAGAGCTAGTCCTTGCAGTTTAAGGAAGATAATAAGGTCATTAGACGTGGTTCCCAGAAGAGCAGTGAAAACCATGAAGTTGGTAGAAGACAGACCCTCAGCCCCCAAATTCTGATTGTTATTGAGGCAAATACTGAGTGTCAAGATGACTTGAATTCACGAAGCATGTCACTCACTAAAGCCCAGAAATCCAAAGCCAGGAAGAGCCCTTGTTAATTAAAAAGCTCATTTGCTAAGATAAATCAAAGGTTGTGGTTCTGTGGATTGAATTTTCTAAGGAGAAATACAAGTGGGAACAAAAGAATAGGCCTGGGCATTGAGTGCTGATGGGTTGGAGGTTTCTCTTAATGGGGACAAAATGTTCTCAAATTATTGTGACCAATTCCTGTGAACGTGCTAACAAACAGCCTTGAATTGTGCTTTGTGAATGAGTCAGTTGTATGATAAGTAAGAGGAAGCATGTCTCAAGGGAGCTATTGAAGATTATAGAAGGAGTCAGGGCAGAATCCATCCATGGTAGACTCATGCTCGTTTATCACAGGTGAGGCTTAGTGTCTGGACGCCTCTCTAAACCTTTGTGGCAGCACCTTAGGGAACTGGGAGCCATCACTGCTATGGGTGCTCCTGTCTGAGGCACTCCAGCACGCGCAGGGGAAGCGTTATCTCAGAGTGAGGTGGTGTGGTTCGGGGCACTCTTAGGTCTGGTTGCTTCGAAAGAGGGACGGGTGTGGTCAGTCGCTTCTGGTCTTCTGGCCTGAAAGTATCTGTTATCGTATGCTAATTTTTCTCAGTTCAGAGCTAGGTGAGTAGTTGTCTGGAGAATAACTCAGTGTTTCCTGATTCCAGATTCAAGCCCTGGCACACGCGTATGATGGCCTTTGTCAGGCAGAAGGAGTCCCCGCGCTGCCTTACTTCCTAATCAAGTATGATGAGGCCACGGTGCTGGTCTCCTCGCTCAGACACTACAGCGATTTCTTCCCGGGGCAAAGGACAAAGGTCAGAGAGACTTTGAGGGGCGTTTTACTATCCAGTGGGAAAATCTGATGTTCATGTTACGAGAGACCACTGCGAAATTCCAGCTCATTTAGGCTTCTTAAGCCTTCCAGAGAAGGTTTCAGAACATCTCCTCATCTTCACCATCCCCCACCCCTTCACTTCCCAAATCAGGACCCCCTCCAGGCTTTCTTAGCTCTGTGGCGCCTCAGAGTAATTGTGGATTCCTCACGTCCTCAGTTTTTCTTTCTGATACACTTTCTATCTGTGCTTTAGTCATTGCCAGAGCTACAGCGACAGTGCAGACTCTGGTCCTCTCACTCCTGGTCAGTGATGGGCTCCACCCCGCAGGGGTCTCCCTCGGCCCCGTCATGTTCCCCGTGCCGCTCACTGAGCAAGAGCTCAAGACACCTGCCTTCGGCCCCCAGCCCAGCTTTCCTGCCTGTCTTCCCCTATTGTCCGCATGAGCCGTTGCTCCCGCTAAGCTCCTCCGTTTTCACCACAGCCCCGCTAAGCAAACAGACCCAGAAGTGTCCCTGTGTCTGTCTTTGTCCTCATGTTGTTTGGTCTTCCTGAAGTAGGTCCTGCCTGTGGGGCTGCTAAGAGACTCTGTCCCGTTGTCAAAGCCCTGCGTCCATGGAGAGGCCTTCTCGTGTTCAGGTGTGACCTGTCCCCTCTGAGCTCACCGCCCTGGCCCCAGCCTCCCCCACCTCACTCCTCTTCTCACTCCCTTGCACACACTGCTTTCGTGCTGTCGGACTCAGCGCTGCGGGAGGGCAGGGACCGAGTCCCACAGTATCTGCCTCAGGCCCTCAGTAAAACTCTTTTGAATGAGGGAAGGAGTACTGTAAGTGTCTTTTAGATGTGATGAGATAGATAGGAAGCTGTCCTTGCCATATTAAGACACTGAAAATTAAAAATAAAATATTGATGATGAGTATCATGCAGGTTTGAAATCAAGTGGGAGAATTTCAGTCACCGTGTAGGGACGTCAGAGCTGAGATGCGACAGGCCTCTCGCTGGTGCCTCTTCCTTGGCCTGAACTTCAGGTGCCTTTTTTTTTAAATAGATTTTTTTTCTTTCTCACCTACACTAGCATTTTCTTTGTCAGAGGGAGCCCTCTTTAGATTGATGACTGAGGGTTGGGTTTTTATTACAATTCTTGCCCCTGGCCCCACACCGGTCAGGTTCACAGACCTGTAGCTAACTTAGCAGCAGCGAGACCATTCATTGGTGCTTCAAGGCCCCGTTGTGACAGCAGATGGGGCAAATCGGCCTGGCTTTGAAAGCGGCTGGAGTTCAGGTTGTGCATGGTGAAGACATGGTCTTCCCCTGGAGGGCGGCTCTGCCAGAGCAGCAGCTGGCAGAGCACTTGGCAGTTTAAAGGGGGCTTTCACGTGCTCTGTCGTGGAATAACGTTGTGGCATAGGTATTCTCGGTACCTGCGTTTCCTGTTTTTATTTATTTTTGGCTGTGCAGGGTCTTTCGTTGCTGTGTGCCCGCTGTCTCTGGTTGAGCTTGCAGGGGCTGCTCTCTAGTTGTGGTGGGCAGGCTTCTCCTTGCGCTGGACTTCTTTTGTTTTTGGAGCACCGGCTCAAGGGCCCGTGGACTCCATAGTCATGGCACACGGGCTTAGTTGCCCCGAGGCATGGAGGATCTTCCCAGACCAGGGATCGAACCCATGTTCTCTGCCTTGGCAGGTGAACTCTTAATCACTGGGTCACCAAGGAAGTCCTGCATTTTCTCTGACAAAAATGAGACTCAAACGGCTGAATTGTCTGGTTCCGAAGCCCATGCACTTTCTTCCATTTCGTTCTCGAGTGACTGGGGGAGAGGTGGACCCTGCTTGCCATTTGGAATCAAGTAGGTCTGGCTTCTAGTGTTGCCACCTCGTAGGTCTGTAACCTTGGGGAATGTGCACACCCTTGCATCTCCCAGGTCTCACTGTCCATGGTGGTGACGCTACCGCCTGTGTGTGCGTCCTTGCTCAGTGGTGTCTTACTTTTTGAGACCCCGTGGACTGTATAGTCTGCCAGGCTCCTCTCTACCCCGACACTGCTGACAAGGAAGAAATGCGATGACGTGGATAATGTGCCCAGCGTGCAGCAGGTGGGCAGTGCGTGTCCACTTCCTTTCCTTCTCAGCAGCAGCCGGTTTTTAAAGCCTGAATAGCTCTCTGGCGTCTCCTGCGAAGTGGTCTGGGCGAGTTGGTGAGGCCCCTGACCCAGAGGCCAACCACCACCCAATTTGGACACAGAATCCTTCACTGGGTTAAGGTCGTATCTCAGGAAAAACCTGGCATGGCTCAGCGCATATCATGAGCACCTCCTGTGAGCCAGAAATTGTGAAGTATGATTGCACCTGTTCTTGTGGAATCTGAGCCCTTGTAGGAGCAATGAGACATTGACTTGTGGAAAGTTCACTAGAAATTCAAGTCACGGAAGAGAAGGGCCAGCGAAGTGACACGGATACTTGGTGGTTTATCTGTGCCTCTGGGTCCAGTCTTGCTCTAGGAAGGACTACCAGAAGCTGCACAGACTGGTGGGCCCTCAGGATCTTCGTGGCCTCGCGGCTGACCTCCCTTGGGTGGTCCTGGGTCCCATCCACCCCCGCCGTGCTGCCGGATGCATTTTCTCACACAGCAATTGGATTGTGTCCCTCTGCTACCTGAAACCCCGCTGTGGCTCCTGTGGTCTTCAAGACAGAGTTAGAAAGGCTTAGCGTTCAGGGCCTCCTCAGACCTGGTGCCTGCCCATCCCTCCCACCTCACCTTCTATTGCTCCCCAAGCTGTGCCCTCCAGACGCCCCTGCCCCCCTCGTCTTCTCCCCATCTTCCCGCCCTAGGTCATGCCCAGCCGATGTTTTTCCTGCTGCTGGCCAGTGCCTCACCCCCGCCTTCGCAGTTCACACCCTGGAAGCGCTGGCGGGTCCTGGCACTGGTTGACACCTCTCTTCTGGGTGCTGGTCGCGGTCCCTCTCTGGGCACCGACTGGGCTTGCGTGCCATCACTGGTTTGCCGCAGGTCATCTCAACTGGGATCCCTGACCAGCCCGTGAGCAGCTGTCACACCGAGACTGTGTTACACCCCACAGTACAGGCCCCACATGTAGCGTGATGCCAGACACTTGACGGGCACATGGTGTGTGTGTGAATTTAGAGAGGAGACAGCTGCTGATCCTTGTGGACAAGCACGAGGCTGGTGAGCACGAAGACGTCCCAGGAAAGCAGGACTGGAGCAGAGCCCTGAAGACATGAGGGGTTCCCAGGTGGCTCAGCTGGTAAAGAATTCAGTGCGGAAGACCCGGGTTTGATCCCTGGGTTGGGAAGATCCTCTGGAGAAGGGAGAGCCTACCCACTCCAGGACTCTGGCCTGGATAATTCCAGGGACTGTCCATAGGGTCGCAAAGAGTTAGACCTGACTGAGTGACTATTTCTTTCTTTCTGGAGATGTGATGTCTGTGAAACCTAGCTCTCACTTCACTCAAGCCTGTTCCTACCTCATGGTGTGAACCCTGCTCACTTGCTTTCACATAATTCCACTTTCTCTTTCGTGTTCCTTGAGTCATGAACTTTCCTTGAAATTTTTTATCCTGTCCTTTGAGAAATAGACATTCTCTTCTACATGAATTCCTGCCTTTGTGCTCCAGCTTCCTGTTTTACTCGATTTCGTGCCTCCTCCTCTTACCAGGGACTTGGACCCTCGAGAAGCCACTGCTCCTCTATCAGCCCTGCCGTGATGTCTTCACATAGAAGCTGGAAAACTGTTGGAATCCCTCTAGGTTTCTCTCCTTTTAGTCTGCTTTCTCTTCTGGGAAACCTGGTGCCCACAACCCTACTGACCACCTTCTCCAGCCTCAACTTCCCTCTGGACCCTGGCCTGCATTATCCAACCCCCTGCCTGCCTTCTCCAGCACCTCGAATTCAATATGTCTGAGTTGAACTCAAGGTCTTCACCCCAAGTCTGGTCCCCTCCTGGGCATCGCCGTCTTGTAGCGACACGGTCATCTATCCGGTCACGAGGGCTGGGAATCTGGGCAGCCAGCTGGACACCTCTCTGTCCGCTACCAGCACCATATCCGTGGGTTTCACCTCCTAAACTTCTCTCTGTCTGCCGCCTCTGCGTTTCTTCTGCCACCTTCCCAGCCTGAGCGTCACGACCTTTCATCTGCTTGCCCGCAGTCGCTTCCCAGGGGGCTCTGTGTGCCTGCTCAGGCCTCCCCCCAGTCCATCCCCATGTCATCCCAGGAAGTCCCCTGAAAAGCAGATCTGATCGTGTCACTCTCCAAATGAGGCAGAGCAATGCTGTCTCTCCTGTGCTCTAAGAACCCAGGTCCCCCGTGTAATGTGCAGAACCCCACGTGCCCGGGCCCTGTGCGGATCTGTCCCTGGGTCCCCCATGCAGAGGACCCCATGTGGCCAGGCCCTGTGTGGATCTGTCCCTGGGTCCCCCATGCAGAGGACCCCACGTGGCCCGGGCCCTGTGCGGATCTGTCCCCGGGTCCCCCATGCAGAGGACCCCACATGGCCCGGGCCCTGTGTGGATCCGGCCCCGGCTCCCTTGGTGCTCCCCTCGGCGTTGCTGACTGCCCTCCCCCTGCAGGGTTATGCCTGGAGCTCCCGTCTCCTTTCTCTTCTTCTGCCTCTTCTCTTCCCAGTTTCTTCAGAGTGAAACCTACTCATGATTCTTTGAAGAAACCCCACCCCCGACTTCCGTAAAATGGTTTATTCTGCCCACAAAGGGTACTCATAGCACTCCATTTACTGAAAATCGTTTAATCTCCTGTGCAGTTTCTAATGACTCAGATTATACTACCTTCTGTTTTATTTTAGCATAATATTAAACTCTGCATCAACATCCTTTTTAATAAATACGTATCATTGTGAATTTCTCAAGTTTCGGACATTTAGATTTCTCGTAATTCTTCACTATTAGGAGCTTCTTTATGCCTGAAATCCCGCCCTCCCTGCCCTCCTCTTTGTACTTTGAATTATTTGTTTCCTTA